ATTTGATATGGATGATAGGTTTTCAGAACCTAGAGTTTTGGATGATTCAGATGATGATGATAACGATCCATGGAAACCTCTGAATCCCCATGAACCTGGAAACTTGAAAGTGAGGCCTTTCAGAAAAAGGTAGTTAAAATTCGGTTTCTTGCATGCTTGTTATCTGCCTATATAATTTTGGTGAGTTCCTAACAGTCTTTCATTTTTTCCTTCACAAGCAGTAAAAGCTTCCAGAAAGAATGTGTTAAATTGTAGTAAGAGTAATCCTACGTTGTTTCCACTCGCTAGATTGCAAGGTACCATTAGTCCCGAAGTTACACAAATGTGGGAGAGGCGGCAGAAGGCCATTGAAAAACACAGGGAATTCAAGTCTCCTCCATTATACGAAAAGGTATATATACTAAATGTTTTGCTTCGGTGAAGGTGATGAACGGTTGGTTTGTAAAACATTGCTTATTTCAGCTTCGTCAATCACTTATTGGGCAAGGAACTGGATCTCCTTATGCTTTCCCTAATTTTGAAGAAGGAAATGAAGACGATGACATAACGACGAGAATGTTGATTTTGGTGGACCTGATTTTGACATTCCAGAGAACATTCCTATGGATGAAGATTTACCTTCTACGAATGAGAAGGTTAGCATATCAATGATTTGATCTTTTGTTATATCTACCTACAGGAAAATCTGGGATTTTCTGTTGTTGATCATTCATTGATCTTTTCACAGCATGGGGATGGTGATGCTGCATTTGGAAAGAATGAAATGTTTGACAACAGAGATCCGTGTTCTCAAGCATGCCTGGAAGATCTCTGCCGCTCTCACCTGGTAAGCATGCTCCTCCACATTTTCAATAGGCAAACAACAGTTAAACCTTTTCCCATAATTTGTCGTGGAACATGGATTCTACAATGCCAAGTGCCAACCTGCATCTCTTTTTTCCTTTTAAGAAATAGATATAAAAGAAAATGCTTTATTAATTGCTCGTGTCTGAGTTCACTATTTTATCCGTGTGCTGTTAGTGAAAGTTGTGACCGTCTATTGCTGCTAGTAGTTCAGGCTTTGACCTATAAAATGTGCAGTGAACTATAATTTGCTGCCGGATTGTTGCTCGAATAAGTTACATGTATTTTTCCTGCAGGATGCTTTGCTTGCCAGCATAGCTGAGAATGAGAAGCAAACTGAACTGGCTGCTCGAGTTTCATCGTGGAAACAGAACATCGAGCAGGTAAATAAAGTTAGCTTTAACTGCTAATCTTTTCTGTCATTCTCTTCTTAAGATCTGTTCTTTTTGTCCTGGTGGGATTTAAGCTAAGGATACTTTTTGTATAGGATTCACATCCTCCATTTGATATTTACGAGTATGGTGAAAGGATTCTCGACAAACTCTCACTCGAAGCAGACAAAGATGTCGTGCCGTTCGGTGATCTTGTCAAGGGTCAAGAAAAGCATGATGTTGCTCGATTCTTTTCCGCACTTCTCCAATTGGTATTTCATTCTCATTTCTAACCAAATCTCATCGGTCAGTTCTTTCTGTTAGATAGAAAGTGTTGTGGTAACATTTTCACACGAAACAACTTTTTTTGTCATACAGGTGAACAATGGAGATGTTGGTTTAGATCGAAGCGGACTCCCGGTGAGTCCGTTTGTTTTACGGCTGTAAACCCTTTCCACGTCCGACTCCTGAAGCACGATAAGAGATGGGTAGATAACTTCGGATGCCCAAAAAGAGAGTTAAGTCGCACTTGAGTACATAACGTACAAAAAGTGACAGGAACATATCTTCACCAGAGAAATGTCTCTCGGTCAATTCTGATTCAGATTATGGATCGGCGAAGTTGTCATCACAACAGAACTGCAAAGCTTCAGTTAACTTGGAAAGTTCGGGGGCGTAAGGTGCAGTCCCGAAAGCAAGAGGAGACGAAGTTCTCGATTGGTCGAACCGGTGGACGTGCAATCGGCACTGTGACACAAAACGTAGTATAGAATTTAGGGCAGTCTTCTGTTGTTGCAGCAATTCAACACTTCGGCTGAAGAGCTGTGAAGATTTCTGACACTTGATTACAGATTATTTGACAATGTTAGCTATGAATATGTATTGTATTATTGGTGTAACTCAGTCCTAGGATGTCTTTTGTGTCCCAAATGGCTTGTATTAACATGGTACTACGACCTGTTTTCCTTGTAGATTTCGCACTCGTGTTATGTAATAATAACAACCTTTTTTCTTACTTCATTAGCCACGTGGCTAATATTTTGCCAACTGAGTCACACAACCTCGTCGCAGAGTTTGCCGTGTAAAATCACGAGTACATGACAGAAAGGAGAGGGATCTTAAAAATGTACCATCTTTGCCCATTCCTTTTACGTTCAGCAACTTCAAGCTTAAAAGGAATAATAAGAAATTATCAAGAAAAAATCGAAAAAAAAAAATCTTTAAAAAATTCGAGGGCTAATAATGCCATTAAGCCCTAACTTTTTTTAAATATAAGGGTAAATTACATGTTTAGTATCTAAACTATTAGTTTTGGTATGTTTTAGTAACTAACCTTACAAATTTTTCAAAATCATACATAAAGTTTAGTTTTTGTTTTATTTTAATATCCCACCGTTAAAAAATTTAGTTTTTTGTTTCATTTTAGTAATCCGTTCAAAATTTAATATTAAATTTTTTAAAAAATTGAAAGTTTAGGTACTAGACGGACAAAAATTAATAGTTTATGTACTAAACGTATTAAGTTTTTAATAGCGGGTACTAAAATGAAATAAAAACTAAACGTTAGGTATGATTTTTAAAAAAAAATTAAGTATTAAAATAGATAAAAACTGACAATTCAAATATTAAATATGTAGTCTACCCTATATATATATATATATATATATATATATATATACTATAAAAACTGATATTGTCTAAATCTCTAAATATATTGAAAATCTACGATAAAAAGTATCTGACACGTCCTTTTATTATATAAATTGTATGGATTTAATCCTTTATTATTAAATGGACCAATTTGCCACCTTTATTATATAAAATGATTTAAATTTGTCCATCTAATATTGAATAAATTAATTAGTCCCTATAACATTAAAAATAAAAAAAAGAGCAAAATAAATTAGGGTAAACTATATGTTTAGTACCTTATCTACCACTTTTATTCCATTTTGGTTACCTAACTATTTTTTTATCTCAAAATCATACATAATGTTACATTTTGATTTCGTTTTGGTCACCCACCATTAAAAAATTAAGGCTTAAATGTATAAAAGGCCCCTGAACTTTAAAAAAACCCAATGTGGCACCTATCATTTTCTTAGATCAATGTGGCCCTCCAACTCGAAAATAGAACTCAATATGGTCCTTTGACCAATGTTTTCCGTTAATTCCTTTTGGGTAAATTACACCATTCATTACTCGACTATTTTCTTCTCTTCTATTTTGGTCACTAAACTCTAAAAGTTTTCATTTTCAGAAATCCTAGAGACTTCAGTGACTAAGGCTGTAGTTAACCCATTTTACCCCATTTCTCTAACTTCTTCCCGGTCATTAAACCGGCATAGGAGCTGAAAGCAGGAAGAACGCTCACTAGAGACACTATTGGGGTTCTATTCCATCATTCAACTGCTCACATTTCTTCGCCAGCCTCCAACCCCCTGAATTCGAATAACCCGAAATCAATTCAATCCAAGACCCTACATTTCTTTCAGACATTTCGTCGAACACATTCATCGTCCCCTCAAACTCTCTACATTTCCCGTTCACTTAAATCAAAGAATTGGAAACAACGATATCCAACACGAACCCAATTTGGCAATGAACCGATTTTTCCATTAGTAAATTGGAAACAATGGAAAATCAAATGTACGGGAAATCATCGTTTCCAAGGTTTACTAATGGAAAACCTGGAATTTGAGAGACAGGGATTCCGATTGAGCGTAACTGTTATTATTGTAGTTTAAATTTTAGTTCCAGCTCTAGCTCTAGTGTAGAGAGATTCATGGAAAAATCTATACCTTGGCAATGAACCCAGTTTTTATACCTTGAAATCAAAGAATTGGAAACAACGATATCCAACACGAACCCAGGCTTGCTTGGTGAGTTGGAGAGATTCATGGGTGAATGAGAGATTGAGGAGATGGAGGAGGTTGAAAGGCGAGTGAATTGCGAGTAAGGAGGAAGAAGGTCATTTGGAGGATTTTTGGCAGTGATAATGATAAATGACTGATGCAAATATATTCAAATATTTTTGGCAATGGAAGAATGTAATTCCATTTGTGTAGTGAATGAGTATGATGGCTTGGGGTTCATAGATTTAAGGATAAATGGCAGCTCTGTTGAAGCTCGCTGCGGCGGGGAGAAGGAGAGAAAGTTAGAGAAATGGGGCTAAATGGGTTAACTGCAGCCTTAGTCCCTGAAATTGAAATCTTCTAGTTTAGTGACCAAAATAGAAGAGAAAAACATAGTTGAGTGATGAATGTTATAATTTACCCAATTTATAACGACTGAAATTAACAGAGAGTTGGTGATTGACGGAAAATATTGGTCAAAGGACACCGTTTGATTTTTTTTTCGAGTTGGAAGGTCACATTGATCCAAAAAACGATAGGGGCTACATTGGTTTTTTTAAAAATTTAGGGGCCTTTTATGCATTTAATCCAAATATTAATAATGATATGATATGTCACCATAAAATAATATCACGTTACCACCGACAAGTTTTTCAAAAATATCACGTAAATAATTTTATTAATTTTTTAATAATAAGTGATTAAAATAAAATTAAACATAATTTTAAAAAATAATTAAATGAATGTTTCAGAACAAAAGTGTTACTCAGGTAAACCACATTTGAAATCTAGAAAGAACACTAAAATTTTGTAGTTGGCATTTACTAGCGTTTTGTTACTTCCCAACGGCCATTCCCACCTTGAGCTCTCATCCCTCTTCTTCTTAAACTGTCCCCAGCTTGTTATCTTCTCTAACAGAATTTTGAAGAAGAAAGATTGAATCTTTTTCAATAAAAAATTGTCAAAAAAGTCGCCAATCTTCCCAATGCCACAACCTCACCACTTCAATGACTATGGCTTTGATCCCCAAATCCATCATTTTCAGGTTCAAATTCCTCCCAAAGCTTCTCCCTTTCCTCTCGTTGATTCTTTCTTTACTAAACCTTTTCTTGTTTTGGCTCAAAAACTCAGGTTTTGGAAGGATCAAGGAAGCACAAGAAAGAGACGACAAGCACCGTTGATGGTGTTGTACAGTTCAAGCTTCAAAAACCGTTTTCAGAAGACTACCAAAGCAATCGACAGAAGGCTAAAACGAAGAGGTATTGGTGGAGAAATGCTCTCTTTTTCTTCGGCAGGAAGAAACGGGTTCCCAGTGGTGAAAGGAACCAACTTGATGATGATCGAGTGAGTGCTAAAGCTTCGAGGGGTTTGATTTTGGGACCTCTTTACATGACCGAGAGAGGCGGGAGTGGCTCGACAACCCCGTGTCGACCCACTAGCCAGTCGCATTCCGGCCCTTTAGCCGGAATCTCGACTCCTTATGTTAGTCTCAAGGAACTTAACATGGAGCAACAACCATACAGGGTTTCTACATCTTCATTGCCCATATATTTTGTCACTTAAAACCCATTTTTTAAAGCTTAGTTCATGATTCAAAATGGGTTGTGGAAACTGGAAAACTGCAAAAGTAAATTTCTGATATGTTTCTTCTAATGGATGAGATGATTAAGTCCTCATTGGTTTGATTTCTGCAAAACTAATGCACTCCTGTTTTGACTTGAGATTTATTGCTGGTTTCTGTCCTGGATCTGGAGGATTAACTCGTACAATACAAAAAACTAAAAGAAAATCCAAAGAGAATTCAAGTGAGAATTTGAAATTTTCTAGAGACCACATCAGTATTCGGTCCATCCCTAGGTGGACCTATTTTGAGAATCGATTGGACCAGTGAATGTAGGACCATTGTCAAAGGATGATACCCGATGACCAGGGCAAGTTGCATGTGCATCATCGTTCCGTGTCTTAAATTAGGGTACCCCTTAAATTAAATGTACGATCAAACTCTTGAGTTATTACAAGGGAACATCATTAAACTGTAATGGGACATGGAACCAAAGACTGTTTTAAGGCATGTTTGCTTGCTTACAGTTTTGTGTCTGCAAATTCTGCTTCCTTGATAGGCTCAGAATTTCTGGGATTTCGTCTCCTTTTCACGTTCACAAGAAGAATTATACATTTGCAAGTGAAGAACACAATCATCAATCCAAGTGAAAGCACCAAAATGAATTCAATCACTATAACCGATTCCAGAGCTGTCACCACCAAAACCAACAGTTCGATAATCAGTTTATCACGTCGAGTCCGAGCATGACTATAAGGATACGGGAAAGAACAACTTACTACGAATTATCGATGAGCTCATCGGTTTCCCTTTGATCAGATTTACGGTAGCCTCCGCGACCAAAGGCTTTGTTATCCTATCTACACAATCCAAGTCACATCCGTACCGGCCTAAATCATTTACTTTCACCGTTAACACCGCAGCATCATGTTCTCCTCCCTGAAAGAAACACAAGATGATTAATCCAATCCTTCCCTATGTACATATAGTAGCTGCAGAATATGATAAGTGTTACGTGGTAGGATAAGTGTTGCATGATTGCATTGCAATCGGTGACCGATGCTCGGAATCTTATTCCGATAGCTCTGACTATGAACTGTTTCGAGATGGTAACATATGTTTGAAGTGGTTGCCATTGATAACTGTCCTTCGACTTCAGTTCGGTCGAATCGATAAGAGCAGCCGGTAATGTTGCTAGCAAAAATCCTTCACTCACTTCCATCGAAAACGCCAGTTCAAAGCCTGACTCACCCCCTGAAATTTCATTCACCAGCACGGTGTTACTCGGAATCGAGTATTAAGTATCCTAATCGTAGTTTAAGCATTCCAGATACTTACCGGTGAAATTAAGAACATCCGGATCACCGATGGAGAACCGAAATCTATCTGTTTCTTCGTTGAACAACAAAGATTCATCCCTAGTGTTCTTCAACATAATGAATTCCGGAACATTAACATATGGAGGATCATTAATAGGATCCACTACTACTTGAACATCCAAGTCATTAACTCCATTTCGGTTCCTGGCCGATACTCGAAGGGTGTCATTCCCCGAAAAATTCCCATTCCTTGTATGATGAAAGTCATTGGAAAGTTACATCCTTGTATTCATGTCCGAAAAGCAGAAAAAGGTACAGCTAAAACAGAACTTGCAATCGAATTCGATGATTAGTACCCGAGATACTGAATTGACTGAAGGGCGAAATTGATCACATCTAAACGTCCTTCAATGGTCAGATTGGTTCCTTTCTCTCCTTTATTCACAGAAAATTCACTCCATATGGGCTGCCAAAACTGCATTGACATAGGTGATAGGAATATTGTTCCATACTTGGCACTGAGAATGACAGAGATATTCTCGGAATGATCCGAATATTTCAATTTGAATCCATTGTAACCACTGCAAACCGTGAGCTAAGAGTTCAGTTCTTATGAAAAAAATGACCGATACGAGCCATGAATTCGAGACAAAGCATGAACTATACCCGAATCTCGGACTTATTAGATCTTCGGTTGCCTGCAATTGGTTTGGAAAAGAAACAAACTGAGGTGGAATGGTGAGTACAGATATTTTGACGGTAGCATTAGCAAGGTCCCCATTAATGTTTGATATTGTATATAGGAAAGAATCATTCCCAAAATAGTCTTTATAAGGTGTATATCTAAAGAGCATTCCATATTGAAGAAGTGAGCCATGAATTGGCTGCAAAAGAAAAAAAAAACATAACATGTTGCATGTTAACAGGGAGTAAGAAGGGGAAAGGATTCTCGGAATTCAACATTAATTGATTTCGACCTTACGTTTGAGAATTCGACGACACTTGCATTGGCACCAGCAAAGTAGTCATTTTCCAACACATTGAACGCGATCGACTCGTCCTCCCAAAGAGAGATTATATCATCATATGCTTTGGGAAAATATTCACCTGGCAGGGCATTAGAAGCAAAGATTTATAACATCATAGTCTTGTGTTACTTGAATAACACGGCAGTGCCAACTTACTTCCGTACACGTTGATCGCGAAAGGGCAGGGTGAGAAATGGTTTCCTTCGAACAATACGCACATCTCGTAAGTGCCGACTTCCATGGCAAGATAGTGACCTATATATGAACCATCATTGTTATCCACAAACATCCAGTTCGAGAAACCTGGCTTCTCAACTGAAGTAAGCACGATTCTTAGCTTCGAAGTTTCAGAAACAACAGGGTTCGAAAATGAATCCATCAACTGTACTACTATTTCATTTCGAACCAGCTTCAGTGCCTTGGGAGCAAATGCCACCACTCCTGAGACTGATATATTAACTTGACCTGTAAGAAAGAAGTATAAAACCATTCACTTTCCTAGTGTAATCATGTGAACCATATCAAACTAGGCACGGCTCGGGTTTTCAAGGTTTGAATAGGTAACATAAACTCGATCAGTTGTACCTGGTTTTACTTCCTTTGTGAATGGACTACCACCATTTAGGATTATATTTCCACAGAACACATAAATTCTATAGATCCCACTCTTCTGAGGAGTATACATGACATTGAAAGCAGTAGCCCAAACTGTCAAGCTTCCAGGAGACTGAGTTTATAATCAAACTGTCATTAAAGTCTCAAACATAACATTCATGCATGCATGCATACATACATTGTTTCAGAACAAAAACAGTTCTTACAGTGTTGTTTAGACCCATGGATGGAACAGGAGCAAGTTCGGTTTCACTTGTAGCAATGTCAGGCAATTCTCCTGCATAAGATAAGGCTGTTTATGAAATGAAATGAAACGAAATCGAAATGTCGGTAAATTGCTTGAACCTACATACCATTACTGATCTGTGTAGGAGATATAGTAGGAGGTATGGATGTCGAATCGATTTCCCTTTCGATTTCTACTTGAAGTCTTTCTACTTCCACTGGGGAGGGATATTGGAAGGCGTCGCGTAGATAAACCGAAAACTGTGCCGGTTCCCCTGCAACAGAAGTATTTAAACCAGTCCCGTTGACGATGCTCTCTACTCCATCGCAATAACCTATTCGAATATGTGTCCGACATGGATACTTTAGGGAAAATAAGAATCCGGGTAACATACAAGTAGAATGAACAACAACCTTTAGTGACACACCTACAAAGACAGTATAAGCATATGGCATATAGGAAATGCTTTTGTTGTGCTTCATATCAGAAATGGTGAGCAAGAAGTTCCCTGCTTTCGACATGCTGAAAGAAAACAGCTGAACCCCGGGTTCTACTTCTTCGAACTGCAAATCCGTTACGGGGATCGACAAGTTTGTGTCATCCTCGATAACGTCCGCGTCGAATTCATACAATCCCGGAACAAGGTTGCGGTATCGATCTTGCTGGTATATAAGTATTTCCATCTTGGAAAAGATTTGCCATGCATTGAATTCAAATCTCCATTTGGCCACACAATTGGAGACATCTAAAGGTCCTGCAAAAGACGGATCGAGTTTACCGACGCATGTTAAACCGGTATTGAACGCTTATACCCGAGTCTGAGTAACATTAAAGCAAAGCAAATCACCTGGATTTACCTTGAATGGTAATGGAGAGCCATTCAAGGTCTGGTTTGCTCCTTGGATATTCAACAAGAAGTTTCCTGCTATAACAACCATGAACTCCATTATGATATAACCAAATTCATTCCAAGCCATGGATGTGATATTTAACAAACTCGAAACCGAGCCATTTTCATGGAGAGCGGTCACCGAGATGTTATAAGAACTCGGTTCTTTGTCTATCGAAGTTATGTTATTTCCGAATGCGTCTTTCCGAAGAATCAAAACCGGAGCGGTAGAACCGGCTTCGAATTCATCCCAGAATGCTAACCAGGAAGCAACACTGGCAGAAGGGTACACAGGACCTGGTTCAACAGTGAAATGTAGAGATGAATCCATGACTTTGAAAGGGTCATCATTGATGATGACATTGAATAAACCTGCAAGGATCGGGACAAAGACAATCTGCCAAGTACTAGGATCGCCATTGATGTCTAGAAAAACTCCAGATATGTAAGAACTATTCCCTGTCTTCCCGTTCACTGAAATCAAGGGATTGAAATCAGTTCTATCTAGTGAAGCATTTGCTTTACTATCGAAATTTCCCAGAACTTTGATTTTGATAGTTGCAGTTTCCCCAGCTTTGAATGCATCCTTGTCATCCAACCAACTGAATGCAAACTTTGGTATCACTGCTTCATCTAAAACATGTAATAACATCGTATTAAATACAATAATTTAAGTTATAAAAAATAGTAGTTTTTATGAAGAACATGTGAATACCTGCAGAAGAAGATGAGAATAATGTGAGGGTCGAAATTAAAATTAAGTGAAATCTGACCGCCATGATTGAGGAACTTCAAATGATCGCTGTCATTGCCATTGGCTCTTTTCTTGAGGAATGCAAGTGATGGAAGTTATTGAAAGGGTAGTTTATCACTTGTATTGGGGTTTTGACACGTGTTGTTAAGATTAAATTAGGTTCGAAAGTCGTTACTG